TCAGACCTCTGAGTCCTCCACACCAGAAGGTTCTCAAAGACCTCTTTGCCTTGATCTTTCTAGAATTCTGTGTCTGCTCACTTCACAGGAGACAGTGGTGGTCCTGTAGGCCCTGCCTGTGCAGGAGGAGAAATGCTTCCTGATGTGTGTGTGTGGGGTGGGGTGGGACTCGGGAAGGCTTCCTGGAAGTGGTGGCAGTGCTGGAGCTGAGCCTGGAGGTGGAGGAGGGAAATGGGAAGGTGGGGGGCTGAGGGGGTGAGGGTTTGAATGGTAGGCTGAAAGGCAGAGGTTTATATCGAGTGACAGGGAGCAGGGGAGGGAGTCTAGGGTGGGGCGAGGGAGGTGCTGGACTTTGAGGAGACAAAGTGTCCAAGAGAGCCAGGGACTCCCCAGGGTCCCACAGGGAGTTGGGAATGAGTCTGGTGGAATGGGGCATACCCCTCACATGCCCCGCCAGTGGGGGAAGGGCCCTCCTGGACTGCTGCCCTCACCCCTCACCTCTCACCCCCGCGTGACTCTGTTCCCCCTCCTCTGCCAAGGTGACCGTCAGCTGTTTCCTTTCAATTAGCGTAGGAATGTTCCCCGTGTTGGGCTCCGCGCCTGCCCGGGGCCAGGACCCCTCATTCTGGCCAGAGCTGCCCGGGCGTGGACTCTGGAAGGACAAGGGCGACCCCCCCCCCTCGCCCTCCCCAGCCCAGCTCGTCCTGCCCGCTGGGTGACCTTGGACTGGTTGCGTAACCTCTCTGGGCCTTTAAAAAATAACCCCACCCCACCGCCACCCACCTCGCCAAACTGAGGGCTCTGGGCGGCTCTCGTTGGGCTTGGGCCTCATTAGCTCATCTGCTGGAGCCCGGATTATCTCACGCGCTCGCAGCCGACGCCCTCACCAGTCCTGAGCCGCCCACATCGCGACTCGAGAGCCCAGATTTTGCTCAGAGCTCGTAAAAATAATCCGGCAACTACAGAACGCCTGCGTGCGCTGATGGTGGGCGTGCAGGCGGAGGGCGCGGGCCCTCCACGAGCAGCCCGGGGCTGTTGCCCATTGCGCAGCGCAGCCCCAGAGGCTCAGAGACCCGAGTGATTTGCCGGGCCACACAGCCAGTGAGGTGGCCGTCATCCCTATCTACACCCTCTCCATCGCACTTAGCCAGCACTCAGCTTCTCGGCCCCTGGTGTATGTGATCTGACCTCTGCTCCCCGCAATGAACTCGGAAGTCCTGGAAGACTCTCCCCGCACCAGACCTCAGGGAGACCCTGCATTCCCAAGCTCTGCTTCCCGGGTTCAGATGCCAGCTTCGCCGTTTAGCAACCGTGCCTCAGTTTCCCCATTGATAAAATAGTGTAGGCAGCCCACGTGCCTCACAGGACGGTCGGGAGGATGGAAGTTAGCAAAATGCTGTTTCCGGATTTCCTCTCTCGGTTTCCTCGCCGGTAAAATGGGGCTGATAGCGGACCCGCTGCAGGTAGTGAGCGCTTGCGGGGGTGTTCTTGTTTTATTAGGGTTTTATGGTTGTATTTTTTATTTTTCAGATTTATGTATGATGTTGAGCATTATCTTCGCTTGGCCTTGGCTACCTTGCGCCAGAGGCGCATCCAGACCTTTCGCTGATAGAAGCCCCTCCCAGAGCCGGCGCCCCTGAAACCTGGGAGGGAAGCCCCACCCCCAGACGCAGGGGCAGGGTAGACCCCCTCCCCTTCCCGGCTCCACCCTCCGCAGGCGGCCCCTGAGGCCCAGGGCAGGAAGCCCCTCAGCCCCACCCCCCCCAGCACCTGGCCGGGGGCGGGAAACGCTCGGCGCCGGCCCCGCCCCCGCGCGCCGGGCCTCAGCGTTGCCATGGGGACAGCGCAGTTGCCAGGGCGACCGCCTCCCGCGGGCCCCACCATCCATCACCCTGGGCGGCGGCGCCGGCGCCCATGGCGGGGCGGCTCTGGCGCCCCCAGGCTTGGGGAGGGACGCGTTGGGGGGGGCCCGTACAGACTGCACCCCTCGATCTGTGACAGAGACACAGACCGGATGGATGGAAATCCTCTCCCTGGGTCTTAGTAGGAGCATAGTCCCCCATGCCTCGCCTCCCGCTGCCCGCCTGACCTTGCCCTGCCCTCGCGCTGCCCCGCAGGGACAGGCCTCTGAGTGAGGACACTGTCTGCCTTGTTGTCTCCGGCCTAGTAAGCCGGCCACACAGCCGTCCCTGTGTCTCTACATCCGGCCTGAATGGCCACCTGACGCCAGGGTGGGGGACCCCTCACAGGGCGGCTGGCTCTGCTGCCCGGCGTGGCCCTGTGTGCATGGATGTCCCAGCTGCTCGGTGGGCCCTCCCCAGCTCTTCCTTCTTCCCAGTGGGATCTAGGGTCACTGCAGAGCCCGGTAAACGAAGGTCTATGGTGTAGTTCAGGAGCTAGGCCATTATGAATTCAAATCCCTGCTCTGCCGCTTTCTAGCTGTGTGACTTTTGGCAACAGACTTGCCCTTTTTGGGCCTCAGTGCCCAGCCATAGGAAGACCATACCAGGCAGCAAGTGCAAAGGCCCTGAGGTAGGAACAAGAGCTTGGTGCAGACGAGGCACAAGGAGGGGCCTTGGTGGGTGGGACAGAGTGAACAAGGGGCAAGCAGAGAGGAGGAGGGTGGAGAAGTGGGTGGGGCTGCCCCTCGTGGGGCTCATGGTTTTATTCATGGGATGATGTGAGCCACAGAGGCTTTAGAGCAGGGGAGTGACAGGTTCTGACTCTCGTTTTGAGACTGCGAGAGGGGGCTGTTGGGGGCCAGGGAGGCAGCAGGGGGTGGTAGAGGCCCGGGCTGGGGTGAGAATGTGGGGCTGGAGGGAAGCGACCAGACTTGGGGGACTCAGGAGCCTGATGGGACTTGGGGATGTGCCTGTGTGGGGAGCACAGAGGGCAGCAGCCTGCCTGTGCCCCACAGTCAGACAGGGCAGACCCAGAACTCTAGCTGATCTGGCCCTTCGGGAAAAACCTCCAAACCAGGCTGCTGGATCAAGCCTTTCCTGAACTCCACATAGCCAAACCCAGCTTCCCGGAGAAGGGAGAAACAGGAGCTACAGAGGGTGCAGCTGGGGCTGCTGGGCCGCAGCGAGACACAGAGGGAGGCAGGTGCCGCCCACCAGGAAGGGAGGAGCAGGATGGGGTCACCTGGCTGGAGCGTGGGAGCTGGTTGATTTCACAGACCTCAGCGGAGCCAGGAAACCTGAACCCAAGGGGGGCGGGTGAGCGGGCAGGGCACTGCCCTGAGGTCTCCACTCATCCGGGAGCTGCCACCCAGCTGAGGGCTGAGTGCTCTGGGTGGCCTCAGGTTTGCTGTGTGACCTTGAGCCAATGTTCACCCTTCTCTGGACCCCTGATTCTCTGCAGAATCGCAGAGGGGGAAGGGAAGAGGCCACATAACCAGAGTTTAGAGCTAGAGGTGTCTGCTCCAACTTATTTGTGCAGATGGGGAAACTGAGGCTCAGAGACGGATGGGGCTCTTCAGAGGCCATGGTGCGGCTTGGGGGCTGTGAACCGCAGGACAGTCTGTAATTTCAGTCCCCGTGAAGATAAGGGACTCGGGGCAGGAGGGAGAGGCTGGGAAAGTCTGGCTCCCACTGTTGGGTCCCCCCCCATCATGCTGCCAGGCCCTGCCCGCATCAGACTGGGCCTCCTGCCCGTTGACACTGCTCAGAGTGGGCAGCTGGCCCAGGGATTATTCAGGACAGAACCAGGAGGCCCCTGGGGGCAGGACCCTCTGCCCCTGCCCCCAACTCTCATCTCCTTGCCTTGAATGGTCACAACAGCCCTGGAGGCGTAAGGCGATTTCTACATCCATTGTGGGGAAACTGAGGCCCAAACACATCCCTGCTCCAGGCCTCACTGGTGGGTCTTTCTGAGCACCTACTGTGTATAGCTTCCCCAGACGGTAGGAAGGGAGGAGTGAGGTCTCAAAGGCCTCCCCTGGATGCCTGCCAGTTGGGAGGGGAAGCAGGAGGAGGTGGGGGGTGGGCGGAGGTCTCAGCCATGGTGACCTAGACTGGGGGGTGGCAGAGGCGTGGAGACCACAGGGCTGATTCTGGATCTGCTTTTGGACCGGCAAGGTGTGGGTCTTGGGGGAAGAACAGGGGAGCCACAGCGATTCCCAGGTTCTGTCCTCAGCAGGAGAGCGAATGGTAGACTGCCTGGCAAAGGCGGCAGGGCTTAGGAGAGCCACTGGGGCCGGGAGGGGGTGTTCTCCAGGTCCCCTCCCCACTGCTGCAGAAGGCCCCTAACCTCGACAGCATGAACCCATCCTTTCAAGCACATCCGGAAACACTGATATTGATTGAGCGCCTACTGCATACCATCCTGAGGCTAAAGCTAAAAGCAGTCTGGGTGGGCTCTTAGAAAATGCTAACTGGATGAGGGAGAGTCTGGGGTTGAATCCTGGCCTTGCTGGTGCTTCCCTGTGTGTCCTGGGGAGACTCTGGGCTGTGGGGAAGCCAGTATGAGAAGCACCGAAGCTCCCAGACAGCATGGTCAACTTTGCAAGCCCAAAGGTTGAGAGGCACGTCTGGTGGGCTCTTTGTCCTCTGTGGGCCTCTCCCAGGGCTGGAGAATAAGCACTTGGTGGGTGGGAGGTCGAGGAGGGGGCTGTCCTGATACAGTCTCCCAGTCCTGAGCAAGAAGATGATAGACCTCCTCCTAGGACACCTTCACCAGCCTTCTGTGCCTGGTGAACTCCTACACATCCTTCGTGGCCCAGCCTCAATGCCCCCTCCTCCCCAAAGCCCTTCCTGGGCTTCCAGTAGGAGGACTCCTGTCCTGGCTCCCTCAGGCTCTGCCCCGCGGGGGTGGCAGGAGGGTTTGCTGACTGAATTAATGAAGTAATACATCTGGAAAGAGGATGGTGCCGCCACTTTACAGAAGGGGAACAGAGGCTCCGTGAGGTGAAATCACTTGCCTACCATCACCCACCTGGAAAGAGGCAATCTGGCTCCCAGGCTTCACCTTGTACTCGCCCCCACTCCCCCAGGGTCCTGGCGACAGAGACCAGCTCACAGCAGGAGCGGCTCCAGGCTATTGCGGTGAGTTTCCCTGCCCTGAGGACGGTCTGGCCAGTGGGAAGGCTTAGGGGACCTGGGTCTCAGGGTCCCCCACGTCCAGCCAGAGGCACTCGGGCCTGGGGTGGTGAGTTCCAATTATTTGTTTCGGAAATGTCCTGAGTGTGGGGACCAGGCACATAGAGTTTTACATCTTGTCTCCGCGAGGTAAAAATAAATACAAAGACCCTCTAAGTCCACAGAACGTAGGCGGAGAAACTGAGGCTAGCATGTAGAGTGCCTCCCCTGGGTCTTGTCTTGGCTGCCTCAGACCCCGGAAGCACCTCTTGGGGTCTGTGGACCCTCCCTCTTAATGCCGAGGCTGGGCACTGCAGACTGGCTAACAGGCCAGGTGGGTTCGATTTGCAGAAAAGAGGGCTATGATGTGGGTGACACCCGGGTGGGGGTGGGATCTGGGCCCCAGGGGTCCTGACCACCCTCCCTGCCTGCAGGAGAAGAGGAGGAAGCAGGCGGAGATCGAGAACAAGCGCCGGCAGCTGGAGGATGGCCGGAGGCAGCTCCAGCACCTGAAGGTAGGTGAGCCGCCCCCTGCAGACCCCTCTGCCTGGGCTGTGGACGGACCCCAGGCTCAGCTGACTTCTAGGGGAGGGGGAAGGAAGAGGTGACCTTGACCCCAGCCCTGACCCTGACTCTTACCCCAACTCCAACCCTGACCCTGAGCCGCCCCTGACCCCGATCCCTGCCACCCCCAGTCCAAGGCCCTGCGGGAGCGCTGGCTGCTGGAGGGGACACCGTCCTCGGCCTCGGAGGGGGATGAGGACATGCGGAAGCAGATGCAGGAGGACGAGCAGAAGGCAAGGCTCCTGGAAGAATCCGTCTCCAGGTGGGGCCAGGCGTGACAACACCCAGGAAATGCAGCCCTTGGGGCCCCAGGCCTTGGGTGGGGTTTGGCCGTTGGGAAGGCCACCTTGCTCCTGGGACGGGGGAAAGAACCTTGCTTTGTTGTGTGCTTTGCTGGGGGAAGCGCAGGCCTGCATGGCAGAGCTTCCATGAGGAAAGCCCAAGTGTGGTGGGATGGGAGCCGGAGGGCCTAACCTAGGCTGGGGGTGGGCTGCCCTGCGTGACCTATGGGCCCAAGGATCCCCCTTCCTCTCTGACACCCCAGTCAGTGGAGCAGGTGTGTGAGGGCTGTGGAGTCAGGCGGGTCCAGTCCTGGAGGATGGGAGTTGCCGCATTGGCATCCCTGGGGGCTTCCTGGCGCCAGCCCAGCTGGCGGGCTGGTCCAGGTTCAGCTGTAATGGAGTCCACAGAGCAGAGGCAGCTGGGCCTTCAGGAAGCCCTGGGGAGGGGCGGGGGAGAGGGCTAGGACAAAAGGTCGGGGCTTTCAGCAGGCAGGAGGCCCGGGTTCGGCTCCGGCTCCGGGTGGTAGGGTCAGGGCAGCGGGAAGTGACAACTGAGACTCCCCCCTTGGGCTCCGGAATGTCCCCTCTGGCCGCGGAAGGGGTGGAGAGGTGGGAGGCCTGCCTGAGCCCGGGACACACTGGGCCCCAACACCCGGATGGAGGGCACTGAGGCAGGGGTGCTCCGGCAGGCAGAATCCCCCGCCCCTGCCCAGCCTCGGATGTGATGGGTTTGAAGAAAGTAGTGCAGGGGGTTCAGCTGTGATTTTCCTTCAAGCTACGGACACACAGGGTTGAATCTGTGACCTTCTAGTAACACATGGCCGGGGGACATGGTGGGAGAGGGTATGTAAATACAAGGATATGGAGCTTCCTTAGGCTTTGGGACGAGCTGAATCTTGCCACCTCCCTGGCCTCAGTTTCCCAACCTGTGAGTCAGGGAGGTGGGAATCCCTTTGGACATCTTAATTCTAGCAAACATTAAGCACCAAGTGTGTGCCAGGGCCAGTGCTCAGACCCCTGACCCTGGGGAGGGGCTGGTCTGCAGATAGATAGTCAGACACTCAGACAGAGAGATGTATGTGGGGAGGTGGTAAGTCAGTGGGAATTACTTGCCATTGGGGGTTACCCTGCCTGGGACACATCCTACAGGAAGCCCTCCCGGCTGACTACAACCTCGAGCTGTTTTGTGAAGGGACAGGCATCCCCCTCTGTGTCCAGCCTGCCAGCCTGGGCTCACTTTGTTAAAGGGTCTGTTTGCTCCCAGCCTTCCAGCCTTGAAGGAGAATGTCTCCAGCAGGTACTGAGCTGCCTTTTAACACCCCAGCTCCTGCCACAGCCTGGGACGGGTGATGGTACGGTCTGGGATTGAATATCCTGGTGTTGTTTTGGCTGGATTTATTGGTATTGTTATCTTCTAATACTTGGAAAGTGACACGTTTTTTCTAGTTTCCCTGGAGAGAGAAAATTTCCCGTAAAAATAAATGTATTTCATTGGAAATAAGGAGAGTCAGTTGGAAGCAAACTATGATGTAAATAGTAGCACAGGCAGTAAAGGGGTACCATGGAGCCAGCCGTGGGTTTGAATCCTGGCTCTGCTACTTGCTGGCTGTGTGAATCTGTCACTCTGTGCCTCGGTTTCTCCAGCTGTAAAAAGGTGTGATGAGAATACGTTGCAGAGACATTAGGAAAAATGAAATTCAAGGAGTTGTTATATGGGGACTGCCAAGGATGGCACTGGTACACAGCAAGTGCTCAATAAGTGTCATCACCCCCGTGCACCCCATCCCCAGGCTGGAGAAGGAGATTGAGGTGCTGGAGAATGGAGATGCTATCCCAGTCACCAAGGAGAACGCAGCGGCCCCAAGCCCAGCCCAAGCCCCGGCCCCAAGCCCAGCCCGAGCCCCGGCCCCGAGCCCAGCCAAGGAGGAGCACAAGGAGGAGGTAGTAGTCAATTCCCAGCGGGTGAGAGGTGGCTGGGAGGCATTCTAAGAGCACTAGGGAGCCATAGCAGGCTTTTGAGCAGGGCGGGGACATTCTCTGGCTGCTATCCAGCAGCAGGCATGCAGGCTGGGAGGCTAGGGCAGTGGGATTTGTCCAACAGGGACTGCACCTGCGAGGTGGCAATGGGGAGGCGGCCTTGCCAGTCAGGGGTGGCAAGGAGGGAGAGAAGAAATGGGGCAGGACCTCTAAGATTCTGGTAGAATTCTGGGAGAGTGGGACAGGGGAGACAGGTACTCTCCGGGCTCCTGCCCTCCAGGGCCCCCTCTGTGCTCCTGAAGATGGGGACCCGGGTCAGCGGGAGGAGAGCGGGGCTCCGGTCCCTCTGACCTTCGTCTTTCTTTCTTTCAGACCCCTGTGGGCACGCCCAAAGGTAAGGCTAGTGGAAGAGATGGTCGTGGGGCTGCAGGCAGTCCTCCCCGCCCTCTGGTGGCCAAAGAGGGGGTGGCAGGGTGGGGTTGTTAGGTGCACTCGAGGATTCAGTTCCAACTCATAGTGACCCCATGTACAACAGAACAGAACACTGCCCTGTCCTGCACCATCCTCACGACCATTGTTATGTTTGAGCCCATTGTTGCAGCCACTGTGTCAATCCATCTCACTGAGGGTCTTCCTCTTTTTCTCTGACCCTCTACTTTACCAAGCATGATGTCCTTCTCTAGGGACTGGTCCCTCCTGATAACATGTCCAAAGTATGTGAGACACAGTCTCACCATCCTTGCTTCTAAGAAGCATTCTGGCTGTACTTCTTCCAAGACAGATTTGTTTATTCTTTTGGCAGTCCACGGTATATTCGATATTCTTCATCAACACCATAATTCAAAGGCGTCAATTTTTCTTCGGTCTTCCTAGTTCATTGTCTAGCTTTTACACACATGTGAAGCAATTGAAAATACCATGGCTCGGGTCAGGTGCACCTTAGTCCTCAAGGTGACATCTTTGCTTTTCAACACTTTAAAGAGGTCTTTTGCAGCAGATTTGCCCACTGCAATACGTCGTTTGATTTCTTGACTGCTGCTTCCATGGGTGTTGATTGTGGATCCAAGTAAAATGAAATCCTTGACAGCGTCAGTATTTTCTCCGTTTATTGTGATGTTGCTTATTGGTCCAGTTGTGCGGATTTTTGTTCTCTTTATGTTGAGGTATAATCCATACTGAAGGCTGTGGTCTTTGATCTTCATCAGTAAGTGCTTCAAGTCCTCTTCACTTTCAGCAAACAAGGTTGTGTCATCTGCATATTGCAGGTTGTTAATGAGTCTTCCTCTAATCCTGATGCCCTGTTCTTCTTCATATAGTCCAACTTCTTGGATTATTTGCTCAACATAGAGATTGAATAGGTATGGTGAAAGGATACAACCCTGACGCACACCTTTCCTGACTTTAAACCGTGTAGTATCCCCTTGTTCTGTTTGAAGGACTGCCTCTTGGTCTATGTACAGGTTCCATGTGAGCACAATTACGTGTTCTGGAATTCTCATTCTTCACAATATTATCCATAATTTGTTATGATCCACACAGTCAAATACTTTTGCATAGTCAATAAAACACAGGTAAATATCTTTCTGGTATTCTCTGCTTTCAGCCAGGATCCATCTGACATCAGCAATGATATCCCTGGTTCCATGTCCTCTTCTGAATCCGGCTTGAATTTCTGGCAGTTCTCTGTCGATGTACTGCAAAACCATTATTTACTTATCTTCAGCAAAATTTCACCTGCATGTGATATTAATGATATTGTTAGATAATTTCCACATTCTGTTGGATCACTTTTCTTTGGAATGGGCACAAATATGGATCTCCTCCAGTCTGTTGGCCAGGGAGCTATCTTTCAAATTTCTTGGCATAGACAAGTGAGCACTTCCAGCATTGCATCCATTTTTTTGAAACATCTCAATTGATATTCCATCCATTCCTGGAGCCTTGTTTTTCGCCAGTGTCTTCAGTGCAGCTTGGATCTCTTCCTTTAGTACCATCGGTTCTCGATCATATGCTACCTCCTGAAATGGTTGAATGTTGACCAATTCTTTTTGGTACAGAGAATCTGTGTATTCCTTCCATCTTCTTTTGATGCTTCCTATGTTGCTCAATATTTGGCCCATAGAACCCTTCAATATTGCAATTTGAGGCTTGATTTTTTTCTTCATTCTTTCAGCTTGAGAAATACCAAGTTTGTTCTTCCCTTTTGATTTTCTAACTCCAGGTCTTTGCACATTTCATCGTAACATTTTGTCTTCTCAAGCTACCCTTTGAAATCTTCTGTTCAGCTCTTTTACTTCATCATTTCTTCCATTCAGTTTAGCTATTCTACATTCAAGAGCAAATTTCAGAGTTTCTTCTGACATCCATTTTGGTCTTTTTCTTTCCTGTCTTTTTAATGACATTTTGCTTTCTTCGTGTATGATGTCCTTGATGTCATCCCATAACTCGTCTGGTCTGCAGTCATTAATGTTCAGTGCGTCAAATCTATTCTTGAGACGGTCTCTAAATTCAGGTGGGATGTACTCAATGTTGTAATCTGGCTGTCGTGGACTAGTTCTAATTTTCTTCAGCTTCAGCTTGAACTTGCATATGAGCAATTGATGGTCTGTTCTGCAGTCGGCCCCTGGCCTTGTTCTGACTGATGATATTGAGCTTTTCCATCATCTCTTTCCACAGATGTAGTTGATTTGATTCCTGTGTATTCCATCCGGTGAGGTCCGCGTGTATAGTCACCATTTATGTTGTTGAAAAAGGTATTTCCAATGAATAGGTTGTTGGTCTTGAAAAATTCTATCACGTAATCTCCAGCGTCCATTCTATCACCAAGGCCATATTTTCCAACTACTAATTCTTCTTCTTTGTTTTTAACTTTCTCATTCCAATTTCCAGTAATTACCAATGCATCTTGATTGCATGTTGATCAATTTCAGACTGTAGAAGTTGGTAAACATCTTCAATTTGGCATTAGTAGTTGGTGGGTAAATTTGAATAATAGTCATATTGATTGGTCTTCCTTGTACCCATTGCCGTCTAGTCGATTCTGACTCATAGTGACCCTATAGGACAGAGTAGAACTGCCTTACAGGGTTTCCAAGGAGTGGCTGGTGGATTCAAACTGCTGACCTTTTCGTTAACGGTCGAGCTCTTAACCACTGCGCCACGAGGGCTGCGTCTTCCTTTTACACGTATGGATATTATCCTATCACTAGCAGTGCTGTACTTTAGGATAGATCTTGAAATGCTCTTTTTGTTAATGAATGAGACACCGCTCTTCTTCCAGTTGTCATTCCTGGCATAGTGGACCATATGACTGTCCCATGCAAAATGGGCCAATACCATCCCACTTCAGTTTACTAATACCTAGGCAGGGTGGGGATTCGCCTAAAATGGAGAATAGTTAGTGTTGCTAATGAGGAACCATAGCAACAATATTACTTTATTATTGTTACTGTTACCAGTGAGCCCTGACTTGAAGCCACACTGCTGGCCAAGTGCTTTCATCATGATTTCACTTGATTTTCACCACACCCCTGGGAGGGAGGGGCTGCTGCATCCCCCCCTTATAGAAGGGGAAACTGAGGCTGGCGAGAGGTGTGTCCTGCTGAGGTCCCTTCCTCCTGACCCGAATCCTGAGGCTCTGGGCCTGCCCTTTCTCCCTGTGAGGTCTTCAGCAAGAGGGTTGTCGAGATGGAGCCTCAGTTTCCACATCTGTAAAATGCAGAGAGAGATTATCTGCAGGGGCAAGAAATCGGGGACTTTGACTCTGCAGGAAGGGGCTCCTACTAGGAACTTAGGCTGGCTGTCCTGGGGTTCAGGGTAAGGAGCTCACACACATAGATGCTGGAGACTGTGGTCAGGAAACAAAAAAGCCCAGAGTTTGAACTCTTGACCGATTTTGTACACCAAGGCAACATTTTATTACCCATTGCTGATGAGTCAATTCTGACTCATAACAACCCTAAAGGACAGCAGAACTGCCCATAGGGTTTCCAAGGATCAGCTGGTGGATTCAAACTACCAACCTTTTGGTTAGCAACCTTAACACTTAATCACTGTGCCACCAGTGTCCCCATAATTTATTACAGACAGATACATATACATGTTTGCAAATATGTCACCTGACATGTTTAAATATACATTTTTATGTATAAACACAGTGTACCTTATTAAACATGTTGTGAAGTTATTAAATGAATTAAATTTATTAGATACAAATTATATTTTAAAAATAGATGTTAAGCACATCTGTTCCTATATTTAAATGTACAATTTGCATTTCAAGGAAGGAAGGAGCCCATCAGCTGGGTGGAGGTGGGGTCCGAAGGGGCTTTGGTCTCATTCGCCATGAGTTGATTTCTTAGAATAAGAGTGATTCCTTGTGTGACTTGTGAAATTAAGAATTAATAATGAGAAAAGGAAATCTGCACAGCCCTCTCAGGGATTCTGTGAAAATCATTTGGGCGGAGGAATGAGAAGTGGGCTGTGGGGCTGGGTGTGGGTTCTTTTTGTGTATGGGGGGTGTCGAGTGTCTGAGGGGTCTGGATGTGTGCATGAGGGGTCTGAGGGGGGTTCCGTGTGCTTGCGGGGGAGATCTAGACACACGCAGATGTGTGTTGGGGCTCCGTGTCTGGAGGGTTCTGGGTGTTCCTGTGTGTTTGGGGGGTCTGTGTCTGTCGGTAGGAGGATCCAGTTGCATGTGGGGGGAGGTTTCTGTGTGTCTGGGGGGCTTTTGGGGGCATGCATGGGGGGGCTGCAGGTGTTTGGGGGATCTGGTCAAGCATGTGTGTGTGGTGTGTGTGGGTATGTGTGTGTGGTATGTATGTGAGGTCTGTGTGTGTGTGTAGGTATGTGTATGTGGTATGTGTGTGAGGTCTGTGTATGTGGTGTGTGTGTGTGTGTGAAGTGTGTGTGGTGGGGCTGTTGTCTGATGAGAATGGGTGATCCACGTGACCTTCTTTCTTCTCTCTCTCTCTCTCTCTCTCCCCCTCTCCCTCCTTCTCTCTCTCTCTCTCTCCCTCCCTCTCTCTCTCTCTCTC